TGACACAAATCCCCCTAAAGAGAAAAGGCTTTGAAGCAAGATCATTTTTACTCATTATTGAACTGTGAATATTACTATGCCTGATGTTTCCTAATAAGCAAACATAAAATACTCCTTGAAGGCATGATCGCATTTGCACTTTTACTACCTTCATGAATAACAACATAAATTACACATTATTTATACCTTATATATATATATCTGAAAGTCTCATGTCTACCTTGTTAGTATAAGATGCTTGAGGGAAGAAACTGTGTATTCCACTTTATTTGTTTTTGAGACGGACTTTCGCTTTTGCCCAGTCTGGAGTGCAATGGTGTGATCTCAGCTCATAGCAACCTCTGTTGCCCGGGTTCAAGCAATTCTCCTGCCTCAGCCTCCAGAGTAGCTGAGATTACAGGCATACACCACCACGCCCGGCTAATATTGTATTTTTAATAGAGGTGGGGTTTCTCCATGTTGGTCAGGCTGGTCTTGAACTCACAACCTCAGGTGATACGCCTGCCTCCGCCTCCCAAAGTGTTGGGATTACAGGCATGAGCCATTGCGCCCGGCCATATTCCATTTTAATATACACAGTGCTAGTGCAGAAGATGAAGGTGAATGTGTGTGTGTATATATAATTTTTAAAATAAGCTCCCAAGTTATTCAAATCAACATAATACTCTAGTCACTGGAACATTTCCCCATAATTGTTAATAAAACAAAAATCGGCTAACACAATATTCTAAGATTATATACTACCTTTTCTTGGTCTTTTCTATTTGCTCTCTCTCCAAGCCTCTTCCTGACGGATTACTGAGGACCACTGCCTGCAGGTACCTCAGTCCTGCCCTATTAAACTTTAAGATGAATTCTGGCACAGCACACCTTTGGCTCGTGGCTCAGAGGCTGACCAGAGAGCTCTGGCAGCAAGACCTTAGGCAAGCCAGGCTACCTACAGAGCACAGATTCGTTCCTTGTTCAAATGACGGCATCTCCAATAATTCTATATGAACAAGATTAGGACGAAAAGCAATAAAGCAGCATGTGTTAAAAAGGCATTATCACTTTTATCCAGTGGTTGCAAAGGGGAATGAGTCCTCTGTCTAGAAAAAGGATGAAATGAAAACCAGAAGAGTTTTATGTCTTAAATTCCCCTGCTGACAGTCTTGACAGGGACTGGTGGAACACTGCAAAATTCTAAATACCTATCAAAAGTACTGATGTGCACTAAAACACATTGTCTCTACTCCTGCCAATCTCACACCTACTAACAAAGCCACAGACAGTTCCCCAGTATCATCGCTGTGCCTAAAACACATGAGTATGTGTTCAGTACACATTGGCTGAATTAATGAGCAAATGAATGATAATCCTGAAAGGCTACTGCAAATACCAAGATGAAAAATTAAATACCAGAGTTGAAATAATTATGCACCAAATATAAAAAATAATTGTATTAAAAATCTCAGTGGAATCAAAACAGGCTAATGAGGCAAGCATCCATCTCATGTGCATCAAGTACTAGGTGGTCATGCCACCCAGACTACCAGGATTCTCCAAAGAACATCAGATATACCTATAGTCTCTCCCCTCAGAACCTCAAAAATATTCTCTGGATGCTAAATCTTTGAGCACAAGTAGTCAGCTAGTTAAATATTGGGGCAAACTAAATCCCAATCACAACTTTACTCAAAACCAACCCTGAAACATGCACTTAAGTGAATAGAAGCTCAGGAACTGCTACCCATCTTTTCCTAATAAAAGAAGGGAAATAACACCTGGGCCTAAAGACCAACAACATTGTCAAAACACAGGAGAAATGCCAAGTTCTTTTATCTGACTTACTGTAGGTGACCACTAGTGTGTCTGTCAGCTAACTGCAAGTCTGTTAACTTCAGGGGTGGAACCCAGGCATGTGCAGGTCCCTCAGGGGATTCTCACACGCTAAAATTTAGAGAACCTGTTGCTTTAACACCAATCCTGCTTTATCCCTCAAGAGACCACAAAAAAAGAAGACTGAAAGATAATAACCAATAATGAGGCTTTTTTTTTTTTTTTTTGAGACAGGATCTGCCTCTGTCGCCCAGGTTGAAGTGCAGTGATATGATCTTGGTTCACTGCAACCTCTGCCTCCTGGGCTCAAATCCTCCTCCTACCTCAGCCTCCCAAGTAGCTGGGGCTACAGGCGCATGCCATCATGCCCGGCTAATTTTTTAATGTTTTTGTAGAGTCAGGGTTTCTCCATGTTGGTATCAAACTCCTGGACTCAAGTGATCCTCCCATCTCAGCCTTCCAAAGTGCTGGGATTAGAGGTGTGAGCCACCACGCCGGGCCCTATAATGGGGCTTTTTATTCCAGATGTCGTTGATAGAATCTGTTTCTTTACTCGACAACGGTTCCCAAATTTATTCACATGAAGGAACACCTGGAATTCAATTTCCTAAAATGTTAATAGACTTAATTCTGTTAATCAACTAAGAACAATTTTACATTAGGAAAACATGATTATGTTAATACCAAATTTTAAAAATTATAACCATGTTTTCTTAGTGAATGTCTCCACACTAAAAAGATGACCATTTCTAGCCTTTTTCATCAATGTTAATTTGCTGTGCTCATTTACTTTGTCCTCTGCTGGCAATCACTATCCATGGCAAGCAGGAACCGATGGTCTAAAAATTCCAACCAATAATTCTAAAGTTCTTTCAAATTATGAAGTCGGCTACCTCTCTGGCAGGGTTTCTCACAAACTTAGCCAGAGAATCACTGCTTTAAGGCAGGATTTGCTGCCCACCAGCCACTAGACACAATTCTCTCTCGCAGGGTTTCTTAACTTGGAGTCTGTGAACTTGAATTGGAAAAGTACGCTCATATTCCCATTAACCTCTAGCTAAAATGTTTTGTTTCAATTACAAATAGGGTTAGCTACTCACAGTGGCATGAGTATCTGTGACTTTGCCAGCAAGAGAAATATTTTTTACCATCACAGAGCCATTGTTAAACACCTTGAAAACCTGGTAACCCTTGTCACCACTTCAAATTTATGTTAACAATTACACTGGATGGTATAAATCAATGAAATAATTTATTAAAAGTACATATGACTACATCACCACTTTTTAAAAAATGTTTATATCTGTAGTGCAACATAAGTGGTTTCTTTTGTAACCCTATGTGTTTCATGCATTTGAAAATAGAACTGTGAGAAGGGGTCTATTGGTATCAGATGACCATTGGCTACATCACGTGAGTTGATACAGTTAATTGCTTATGCTGTTGATACTGGCATTATTAGTTTACATTTCACTACTAAGCCACGATACCTGTTCGCCTGGCACAAAGAGGAAGCTTCAGATAGTTGCTAAATTAAAGGACAAACTTTGGGGTAGAGTTCCCGCAACGGAAGTTTGACACCAATTAATCCACTGATTCTACCAGCAGCCTAACTGTGGCTCAGTTTCTCCTCTCTGGGAAATGGGACTATTGCTTACCCAATGACCCTGGAAAAACTTACAAGAAAAAAACATTAATTTGTGTGAAAAGACTCAAGCCCTTTGAAAGACATGCTTTTAAATTTTCCATGTGTATCCTTAAACAATAGTTCTAGTGGTCTTAATTTTACTAACCCGGTGTCCACATCAGAACCTTGAATCCCATTCCCAGTTCTGCTGTCCACTATGGGCCATAAGGAATAAAGAAGCATCAGAGAAAACAAATAAAGTGGGTGGACTTAAAAATCAGTGCATATCCCTTGGGATTTGTTTGTAAATTGTTCATGTACGTGTAACGTAAGGACGGTGAGTCCATCGCTTTCACCAGCTTCTCAAAGGGAACTCCAAAGACGACCTACTCCAAAGACACAAATGTGCTCTTGAAAAACTGTAAACAAACTGTAAAATGTTCAATTTTTTTTTTTTTTACAAGACCTTCACATGTAAACCAGAATCCCTTTCTTACAACAAACTGTGGGTCACAGAAAATAAAACAGGCCTGTGCAACACCTCACAGCTAGTCAATAACCAGACGGGACCCACTCCTAGACCACCTGGCTTTTTTCCCTCTGCATCAGCCTTGTCACTGAACACAGTTTTATTCTTCTTAAATCTGATGTTCATGGCACAGAGCAGGAGTAGTGGCTTTAAGTATCACTAGTCACGGCTTTCAGTGGCTCTGATAGCTATCATTCACAACTGTAATTGAATAAAAGGAAGAGAGAAAGGAAATTCTTGCCACTTATTCAACTTTCAAAAATAAGCTAACGTTGCAATACCAGTTTAAAAGCTCCTCTCTACACCGTGCTTCTATAAAGTATTCTCAAATTGATGGATGTCCAGTAAGACTTACTACAAGTTACACAACTGTACTAGCATGAAACAAACCAAGAGATAAGGCCCTGTCATCCTTCTCTGTTAAGGAAACAATGGCGGGATCATGCCACAGGCCAAGATTTCCAAAGAGATTGCTTTAGAGAGAATGTGTATCAGGAAGCAAGAACAACAGTAATTTTGGCAGAAGGGCTAGGATCCATGAGTATCCGGGGGTGGGAGTAAGGGGCGGGGAAGCCTGTACAATAAATCGCCTTAATAGAATTCTAGTGTGGCCAGGAGCTCACGACCACCAATGGAAGCGCCCGCATTTTCCTTCACAGCTATCACTCCCTCTTTCCTTCCCCGCCCACCAAGGAAAGCAATGCGGCAGGAGTGGAGGGCACGGGAGGAATAATAAGCGGCGTGGTTTTGAGAGCTGTTTCCACCACGAAATAGCTGCCTGACCCAGGCAAGTTATAAAACCGCGCCTCAGTTGCCCCACTACACTGTCGACTACACAAAAATGCTGCCTGGATTAAATGACAGACAACGAGTACCAAACCTTCAGCACAGGGAGAGACAGAGGAACCGCTCCGTGCCTTTAAGGCAAGTCCGCAAGAGGGTTCTGGGGCCTGGGCTCCGGCCCCGAAAGGGCGCTCCCGGGGCCCGCTCCCCGCCAGCTGGGTTCCGAGCCCCTGCCCGGCCCACCTTGTTGTTGTACTCCTCCACGAAGCTGCCCAGAGCCAAGCGAAAGCGCTTATCGGGCCGCACACTCCAGTTCATCGCGTAGACGGTCCAGGGCGCTTCATACTTGTAGATCTCCTTCCGTTTGCCGTGCAGGGACATGGTGGCGGCGGGGCCGCAGTGCGGGTCGGGTCAACAGCTGGCTGCGGTGTGCAGGGTGCGAGTCGGGCGGGGAGCCGGGTCTCAGACCGATGGGTCCAAAGGTAGGAGGGGAGGAGGCGGTAAGGAACGGCCTACCCCCGGAAGTGGAGCTGCGGCGACAGACAACGACGACGGCCGAGCCCGACCCCTAGTTTCAAACCAGCTTGGGCACCGACGACAACCACCTTCCGTTTTGGGACGCCGCCCCGCCCTCTCGGAACGGAAGCCACGGGACCCCCGCAGCGGCACCAGCAGTTGGTTGCCTCACACGTCCTTCCGAAAGGGTTATTTCTTCTCATTGGTTATTGCGGCCGTAGCGTCTGAATTCTCTTCGCTATTGGGTTAAATGTTTGTCATTGCACCTACTCGCCCCGCCCAACTCTCGGAGGCAGGGGCTTCGGCAGCCCCAAAGGTCATTGGCTGGCCAAGCTGTCAGTCAGGCAGATAACGGCGCAGTGCCTGCGGTGGGGTGTGGGTGACCTGAAGGCGAGCGTGCGCGGGGGTAGCGGGCCTCCAAGTTTTAGGCCAAGTCTCCGAGAGTGAAACCGTCTGTGACCTGAGCCGACTTCCTGTCTGCTGCCGCTGTTGTGAGCGGCCTCTCCACGCTGTCGAGTAAAAGTACAGTTCTGTCTTGTGAAGACCTGAATGTTGCGGGACCGAGCCCCGCGGCCTGACAGCCTGGTCTGTGCCCAGCGGGAACCACCTTCCCGCACCCTCTCGTCCCGAGACCCTTTTAACCCGAAAGCTGCTCTCTTCGTGCCCCAGGGACGGGCTTCGGGCGTGCAGATGCGCCAAGGGTCAGGCCAGCTTGAGTCAGGCCCTCCGGCGCTTTCCTGTAGGATCTAGAAATGTCCCCGAATTCTAGGGTAGGCATCAACCAGACCAGCTTGGTTATGTTTTTGTTGGTTCCTATCCTGTCCCCTCCCCGCCGTGGATCCCAACGCAAATGCCAATTCAGCCCCAAAGGTATCTGTGCTTGTGTGTTTGAGAGGGAGAAGGGCCTGAGACCAAGTAACACCTTTATATAAATGGTTTCTAATTGTTAGCTTTAATCAAAATTGAAGGAGGTTTGTATCGAATTGTGGGATAACATTAATTTTTATTTTATTTTATTTTATTTTAAAGACAGAGTCTCGCCCTGTCACCCAGGCTGGAGTGCACTGGTGTGATAAGGGCTGTATCCTCCACAGCCTAGGCTCAAACGATTCCCTGACTTTAGCCTCCGGAGTAGCTAGAACCACAGACGTTCGTCCCCACAACCAGCTATTTTAAAATTATTATTATTTGTAGAGATGAGATCTCTCCATGTTTCCCAGGCTGCTCTCGAACTCCTGGGCTCAAGCGGTCCTCCCACATCAGCATCCCAAAGTGCTGGGATTACAGGCTTGAGCCACCATTCCGGCCACTAAATATAATTTTTAATGATAACTGTGATTTTTAACAGACAATTCAAAAACTTGAGGGATAATGCTATATAAGATAACCCCTTTTAGTCCTATCTTCTTATGTGAACAAATTTTGTAGGCACTTTAAAAAGGAAAGAAATGCTTTTTGTTTTGTTTTGTTTTGTTTTTCCTGAGATGGAAGGAAACCTTTTTTTTTTTTTTTTTTTTTTTTTGAGATGGAGTCTTGCTCTGTTGGGCAGGCTGGAGTGCAGTGGCCTGATCTCTGCTCACCTCAACCTCCACCTCCTAGGTTCAAGCTATTTTCCTGCCTCACCCTCCTGAGTAGCTGGGATTATAGAGGTATACCACTCCCAGCTAATTTTTAGTAGAAATGGGGTTTCACCATGTTTGCCATGCTGGTGTCAAACTCCTGACCTAAAATGATGCTGGCCTCAGCCTCCCAAAGTGTTGGGATTACAGGTGTGAGCCATCGCACTTGGCCATGAAATCCCTTTTATTTGTTTATTTATTTTATTTTTTGAGATGGAGTCTCACTCTGTCACCCAGGCTGGAGTGCAGTGGCATGATCTTGGCTCACCGCAACCTCCACCTTCGGGGTTTAAGTGATTCTCCAGCCTCAACCTCCTGAATAGCTAGGATTACAGGTGTCCACCACCAAGCCCAGCTAAATGAAATCCCCTTTAAAGAGAAAAGTTTATTTATTTATTTTTTTGAGACAGAGTTTGCTCTTGTTGCCCAGGCTGAACTGCAGTGGTGCGATCTCGGCTCACCGCAACCTCCGCCTCCTGGGTTCAAGTGATTCTCCTGCCTCAGCCTCCCAAGTAGCTGGGATTACAGGTATGTACCACCATATCCAGCTAATTTTGTATTTTTAGTAGAGATGGGATTTCTCCATGTTGATCAGGCTGGTCAAAAACTCCTGATCCACCTGCCTTGGCCTCCCAAAATGCTGGGATTACAGGCGTGAGCCACCACACCTGGCTGAAAGTTTAATTTTTAAAAAGGAAAGAAAAGTACAAAACTTACAGTACCTTGTCTTATTCTAATAAAAATAATGATATTCATCCACAGATATAGAAACTAATAGGGGAGGAAATTTTCTCTTTTATGAGATAGTTCCAAAAAATTTGAGTTTTTATTAGAAAATTGAATATATATGTTGTTTTGAACAACTGTATTACTAATAGGTGTAACCCATGAAGCCTTATTAAGGTTACAAAAAATGAATTTGTACACATTTGTTTTGAGGCAGGGTCTTGCTTTGTTGCCCAGGCGGTAGTGCAGGGGCACGAGCACTGCTTATTGCAGCCTCGACCTCCTGGGCTCAAGCGATCCTCCTGCCTCCTTTTATTTTTTGTAGAGACAAGGTTTCACCATGTTGGCCAGGCTGGGGTCAACTGGTCCTCCCACTTTGGCCTCCCAGAGTGCTGGGATTATAGGTATGAGCCACCCTGTGCCTGACCTACTTATTTATTTTTTTTTTTTGAGACAGAGTCTCACAGTGTTGCCTGGGCGGGGGTGCAGTGGCACCATCTCAGCTCACTGCAACCCCCATCTCCCGGGTTCAAGTGATTCTCCTGCCTCAGCCTCCTAAGTAGCTGGGATTACAAGCACCTGCCACCATGCCTAGCTCATTCTTTTGTATTTTTAGTAGAGACGGGGTTTCATTATGTTGGCCAGGCTGGGCTTCAACTGCTGACCTTGTGATCTGCCCGCCTCGGCCTCCCAAAGTACTGGGATTACAGGTATGAACCACCTGGCCTTTTCTTTTTTAGTTTTGTTTTTTGTTTTAAGACACTGAGTCTTGCTCTGTCACCCAGGGTGGAGTACAGTCTCATGAACCCGGCTTACTGCAGCCTTGACCTCCTAGGTTCAAGTGACCCTCCCACCCACCTACCCAAGCCTCCCACCAAGCCCTGTAGTACCTGGGACTACAGGTGTATACATCACAATGTCTGGTTAGTTATAAAAAAAAAAAAAAATTTTTTTTTATAGAGACCAGGTTGTACTATGCTGCCTAGGCTGGTCTTGAATTCCTGGCCTTAAGCAGTCCTCCAGCCTCAGCCTCCCAAAGTGTAGGGATCACAGGCATGAGTGAGCCACTGCACCCGGCTTGTATACATATTTGTGTGGCAAACATATGATAGGCTGATCAATAGTAGGCTTTGAAGCATACCAATAAATTACATGTAGGATAAAACTATGGGAGGAATAAGTGGGAGTTATGAGGAGAGAAAAAAGAATGATGTTAAAGAAAAGCCTCTTGTGTTTTTAAAATGGATGGTGGTGGCTCTCAAATCACGGCTATTTGGATAGAAATGGGTCAATACAAATGAAGGATGGAATCGTTTTATAAAGTGTCAGTATTTACAAGACAGTTGACATTACATCCTTTGCACCATTTAAATTTATCAGTGAAGTATTTTATAATATTTCAGATGTCAACTTAAAAGGTATGAGGGGGTATACATTTTTTAAATTATTTTCCAGAGTGCAGGAGCAAAGGACTGATAACCAATAACCAGGTAGTTTTTGGGCAGCAGCCCTTTTCAGCAGTGGTTAATTGTACATGCTCTTGAAGCCAGACTATCTGGGTTGAAATTATGTCCTCCTTTCCTGTTGTGTTGGGTATGGGCATGACTTTTAAAAATTTTTATTTTGAGACAGCGTCTTATTTGGTTGCCCAGGCTGTGAGAGCAGTGATGCAATCACGGTTTACTGTAACCTTGAACTCCTGGCCTCAAGCAGTTCTCCTGTATCAGCCTCCTCCCAAAGCCCTGGGATTATAGCATAAGCCACTACATCTGACTTTTTTTTTTTTTTTTTTTGAGACGGAGTTTCGCTCTTGTTGCCCAGGCTGGAGTGCAATGGCGCGATCTCGGCTCACCGCAACCTCCGCCTCCTGGGCTCAGGCAATTCTCCTGCCTCAGCCTCCTGAGTAGCTGGGATTACAGGCACGCGCCACCATGCCCAGCTAGTTTTTTGTATTTTTAGTAGAGACGGGGTTTCACCATGTTGACCAGAATGGTCTCGATCTCTCGACCTCATGATCCACCCGCCTCGGCCTCCCAAAGTGCTGGGATTACAGGCTTGAGCCACCGCGCCCGGCCATGACTTTTTTTTTTTTTAATTGAGGTATAATTTACACAGAAGCACACTTTCACAACCTGAACACACTCCTGTAACCAGCACCTAGATCAGGAAACAGAACAGTGCCTGCACCTCAGAATACCCCCTCATGCTTGGGTAAGTGTCTTAGTCTCTCTACTACTGATCCCACATCTCTAAAATGGAGATAATAATGCCAACCCCTTGGGGTTGTTTTGAGGATTAGATGAACAAGTATCTGCAGAGCTGTCAGCACAGTACCTGGTCCAGGGCGAGTGCTACTGAAGTGCTGGCTGTTGGCATGATCCATTAGGGCCACTAAGCCAGTGCCTCTGTTTCTCTTCACCACGGCCTAACAGCCCCAGGCTCCAGGAGCTTCTGGGCCCAGCAGAGCCACTTTCAGGTCCCCAACATACTGGATATGGTGGAAGGTAGGTCTCCAGCTCCTTACAAGAAGGGTTTGGAGAAAGCCACCGCACAGCCAAAGACCTGAGGGCCTTCAAATAAGTTACACACCCATCCCAACATGAAATGTGCGCTTTATTAGCTGTGTGACACTCCACTGCCCTCAAGAGACCCGATGTCACAGAACCATCAGGAGAACAGGGCTGGAGGTCTGTCCTAACATGTCTACCACAGAATACACCTCCATCTCTAGCCAGGTTGGAGTCTCCATGGTAAGAGTTCTGATCAATCCCGGGCCTTGGTGCTGGGCCATGAGGTGGTGGAGGGTTCTGAGCTGGGAGGTGATCACGTGCCGCCCAGAGCAAGGTACTCACGTAGATCAGAAACTCTTTCTTCACTGCCCTCTCCATCCTGTAAGCTGCCTCCACACCTGAGACTCTTCCACCCTCCACCAGGCTTGCTGCCTAAATGGAGCCCCGGAGGAGGCTGGGAAAAATCCTGAGCCTCTTCACCCATGCCATCCTGGTCACCTGGATCAGCAGTTGTAGCTACTCTAGGAGAAGCCCATCTGGGAGGCTGTCTGCCTCCCCAAGATCCTTAACTCTCACCTTGCCCACCTTCAATACCCTCATGGTGTCTTTATTTTGGAGTTCAGTGGCCCCAACTCCCTGCAAATCCAGGATCTGAACCATGTCTCTGGAACTCCAGCTGCTTGGAAACAGAGCCAAGCTGTTCAGGAAGGGAGGAGAAGCGGGGACCACGGATGAGTCCCTGTACTTCCAGGGGATGCAGAGGTGAGGCCAGGGGTGGCCAGAGCCCCTCAGGCTGTTCCTGTTCAGAGGATGGTGCCAGACTTTTGTCTGTTGCCACAGCCAGGTGAGGCATCCCGGGGAAGGAGTTCCTGTGCTTTGGACTACAGTCATCCAAGTCTCCACAGCTCAGGGTCTGGGAGGAGCAAGAAAGAGGGATGCACCCCAGGCCAGGCTGTGGGTTAATCCACCCTGACTTCAGGGGTGGGATTAGGCAAGAATTGTACCTGTCCTTCCCACACCTCAGGGTCCTGCTGCCCTGGCCCCAGCTGCAGGCTCTGTAGTCATATTCTGGGCTTTGCCACCACCTTGCCCAGGATGCCCTATCATGATGCTAATCATAAAGGAGGTAAGCAGAAGCCCTGGTTGCCCTGGGGCCACCAAGGCTCTGGGACTGATGCCACACTGTGACTAAGTCAGGGAAAGCACACAGCTGCTTCCAGGTAAGCCTCTGGGAATCCCCTCACCTCTTACCTGTGTAGAAGGCAGAAAGCCCTGGGGCAGCCTGTGCCCTGGACTCTGAGTCTCTGAGGTGATAGGAAACAAGGCCAGGTCATTGGAGGCAGAGGCTTCCAGAATGTAGCTGACATGGCCCTGGGGCATGGGCTGCTGGAGGAGCTGTAAGATGCGGCTGAGGTCTGAAGACAAGCGGGACTCCAGCCTGCCAGAGAGAACCCCATAGTCAGGGTTGGGGCTGGCAAGAGCAGTTCTGGTCTTGAGGGCAGCCGTCAATCTTGTAGCCTGTGAGCTGTTCCTGCTAGATGGAATGGCAGCCTAGGGCTGACCTGAAGCTATTATCCTGTTGGGATCCATAGCCCCTGCCCAGATTCCCCCTGAGTCTGACACCAATGACCAGGCACAAAGCATACAGCATTTAGTACCCAAGATGCTTTGATGTGGATGTTTGAATTATCCCCATTTCACAAAAGGGCAAACCAGGTTCACAGCTGTTCAGTAACTTGCCCACACTCTTGCTGGTAGGGCACTGAGCCAGAATTTGAACCTAGACAGTTCTGCTTCTAAGCCCTCACTCTGCCACCACAGCCCTGCCATCCACTGGACACACCCCCTTTCCCAGGACCTACGAAATTTGTTTCTGCGCATAGTTGTGCCCCTCCCATGAGAAGCTTCCTTGGCACGTTCCAGAGTTTGCTAGGGGACGTCATCTGGGGAATAGTGCTTAGTGACAGGTATCGGGAGACTTGCAGCTAAATGGCTTGCCATTCTAAAACCCACCTGACACCCCATGATGCTTCTGAGCCACCAGGAGGGGGCACCAATGCCCAGACCCCAGACCTGGCCACAGTGTACTCACCTGTTCATCTGGGCCTGGAGCTGCTCTAGCCTGGAGCCCAGCTTCAGAGGCCAGCACTGTGGGTCTCCCTGAGGGCCTGGAGCACTATGCCTTGGGGGCATTTGCTGCAACAGCTCAGGCCAGAAGGCAGATGCATCTGAGATGCTCAGGGGAGGGGCTCCATCTGCGAGAGGGAAGGGGAAGTCTCAGCTGGGCCTAGCTGGTTCCATAGGCCTGACCCTTCTCAGTAGAGCCCATCTCCCACCTCCTACCTGCCCCGGGGACACAGGGTGTGGGGAGTGGCTCTCCTTACCTGGGTGCCCTGGAGCACAAGGTCCTGCCCCATGGAGTTCTGGCTCCCAGGACCCAGGAGGCTGTAACCCTGGGAGGGGAGCTGGGGTCCCAGCTCATGGGGAAACTCTGGCAGGGTGAGGACTTATAGTGGTGCTCTCACTGCCCAGGGATCTGCAGCCCAGTGGCCCCCCTGATGCCTTGGTGTGGAACCTCGGGGGCTGGCTAGTCTCCACACACCCCTGGGAGCTGCATTTGAACCATGGAGCCCTCACTGTGCCTCTAAGGACATAGGCCATCAGGGCTGGGAGACTGGGGAGGAAGCAGGGCCAAGGCTCTGGCTCTGGGTCTAGAGAGGGAACCTCCCTCTACCCATTTCAGGGGTGGCACTGGGGAGGCAGGATGGAGTGGACATGGGAGGGGCAGGAGGCTGGGCAGGGGCTCTGGGCTGGGGCTGGGCAGACACTGGCAGGGGCTGGCTTTGCTCACCTGACTGGTTGTCTTTGAGGAAGAAACTCTGGTGGTCTTGGTTGCCTGGAGCCTGTTGCGGGGATGAATGGAGACCCCCAGCTGCCTTGTGGGAAACAAGAGGAGGAAGTAACAGGAACCAAAGCTGGTATGGGGCCTCTGTTCTTCCCTGCCCTCACCCCACAGTGCTGTCACAACTAGGTGAAAGAGTAACAGGCAGCTGGGCACAGCAGCAATGCCCTGGGTGGCTTCCCGCAGATGGCCCAGGCTGCAGAGACCACACTCCTCCTGCCCTGGTGCCCAGCTGCTGGGCATTCTGGCCGCCTGATGGCTGGGCCCCCAAGGCAGGGTCCTTACCAGATGTCTCCTGTGCAGGTGGTGGCGGCGAGAAACTGGAGAAGGGGAGAGCAGCAGAGGGGATAGTGTGGGGAGGGCTGTCCACAGCAAGAAAGTCCACCCAGACCGGGTGCGGTGGCTCACACCTGGAATCCAAGCACTTTGGAAGGCTGAGGCGGGCAGATCATGAGGTCAAGAGATTGAGACTATCCTGACCAACATGGTGAAACCCCTGTCTCTACTAAAAATGCAAAAATTAGCTGGGTGTGGCGTGCCTGTAGTCCCAGCTACTCGGGAGGCTGAGGCAGGAGGATCACTTGAACCTGGGAGGTGGAGGTTGCAGTGAGCTGACATCGTACCACTGCATTCCTGCTTGGCAACAGAGTGAGAATCCGTCTCAAGAAAAAAAAAAAAAAAAAAAAAAAAAAAAAAGCCCACCCAGCTCCATGCTCAGGAAGCTGGGCACAGGGCCCAGGTCAGCAGAGCCCTCCCTTGAAGCAGATGGGTAGGGGCGACAGGGGAGAAACAGCCCGGATTCTGTGTTTTATGGCCAGGTGCACCTTCCCTTCTTCCCTTCTTCTGGTTCCAGATCCCTCCTCCCTGATACCTTTCTCTGGGCATTCCCAGGGCCGGTCCTGGTTGTCACACTCCTTGGCAAGCTTGATCTCCACATGCTTCTCCTTTATACCCTTGAGACTTTGGCTATTTTGCTTTGTGGCTCTTTATTGTTGTTGTTGTTTTTTTTTTTTTTTTTTTTTTTTTTTTTTTGAGTTGTCAAAATCTCCTCTACTGAGGGATGAGTGTGAGAAGAGAGACAGTTTTGTCACCTCTTGGCAGTACCTGTGCTTGGTACTGTGAACCATCTGGACAGCAGGCACCATCCTTTTCAGCTTGGTATAATATGGTGGGAACACCTGGGCTTTGGAGTTGGACAAATTAAATTCACATTTTGGCTCTGCCATTTACTAGCTGAATGGCTTTCGCCAGTTTATTCACTGTCTCTGATCCTCAGTTTCCTCATCTGGAAAATGGGGATAATAACACCAATTGCAAGGAGGTCATGTAAAAGAAACCCCACCCTTAGCATAGACGGTGCTTAATAAATATTAGCTATCCTCATACTTAGCATTATGTCAGCCATGGTAGGCACAGAAGAAATTCTGGCAAAGGTTGCAGAATGGGGTTGGTCAGATGGGTGCCCTCAGGCCAGGCAGGCCAAGCCCTCAGCAGGCTGCCTGGGCATTTCCTGTTACCAGCTGGCCGAAAGCCACCACCCACCCTGGCCCACCTGGCCCTGACTCACTTCCCGCAGGTTGAAGGTGACCTCCAGCTTACTCCAGAAGCTGTCCGCAAAGGCCGGGTACATGTCCATCACCTCTAGCAGGTCTGCCCGCTGGATCTTGTGCAGGTCGCAGTAGGTCAGAGCCCGCACGTCTGCACTGGACTTGCCCGGCCGGGCATGGAGGCTGACAGGCTCCCCAAAGATGTCATTCTTGCCTGCCAGCCAGAGGGGTGGGAGTCTCTTCAGGGTCTGGATCCACGTTCCCTTATGAGGGTCCTTTGACCGTGACCTCCCCCAATCTTGGACATCCTTCTAGGCTGGGGGCCTGCTGCCCAGAAGCAAGCTCTGGGGACAGGGCTGGATGTGGGTTGGCAGGGGTGGGGTGAGGGGTTCTCTTCCCATGTCTGAGATCTCTGAGCTGCACAGAGATCCACTGAGAGCCACTCTCACCCCCAGCGCATGGCTCCTCTCACTGTCTCCAGGCTTTTCAGAACCATCCTCCATCAGAATCTGCCTCCTGTAGCCCACACTCTTTGGCACAGTGGGCAGGAAGAGGCCCTAAAGGCTCAATTATCTGTCTCAACATCTTCCTGCTGCTTGGCCTGCAGTGCTGTGGAGCAGGGTGCAGGAAACCCAGGGCCAGAGCACCTAATTCCCTAGGGCAGGGCCAGAGGCTTCTCTTAGTCTTCCCACTCCTGATTATGGGGCCAGGTAACCAGCGTGGCCCTGGTGGAGGAAGCCTGGAGAAGTTGCTCTTGTCTGGATTCCAGAATCTTCGTCTCTAACATGGGTAAAACCTGATCTACCTTGCCAGCCCCACTGGGCTGTTCAGGGAAGCAGATGAGGTGAGCTTGAGCAAGTGACTCAAAAAGCAAGAGGCGGCCGAGCACAGCGGCTCATGCCTGTAACCCCAGCACTTTGGGGGACGGGAGCCGGGGGATTATTTTAGGTCAGGAGTTTGAGACCAGCCTGGCCAACTGGTAAAATCCCATCTCCACTAAAAAAACCTAACTAAAACAAAAATTAGCAGGTATGGTGGCCTGTAATCCCAGCTACTCGGAAGGCTGAGGCAGGAGAATCACTTGAGCCCAGGAGGTGGAGATTTCAGGGAGCTGAGATCATGCCACTGCTTTCCAGCCTGGGCGACAGAGTGAGATTCCATACAAAAAAACAAAAACCAAACCAAACCAAAACAAACAAGAGGCAACTGACTAGGTCCATGCAAGGCAAGGGGGAAGGATGTCCCAGGGTAGACATGGGTGATACTCAGGTATGCGGCAAGGGTACTGGGCCCTCCTGGTGCCGGATGCTGTGCTGGCCAAGGAATATAAATATAAGTATAAATATAAGATGTTATGCCACCCACAAAGAGCCCCTCAAATCCCTGCAAGACAGGTACATAAGCAGCCAACAAGTTTACAGCATGATCTTTGGAGCCCTAGAAACAGGGAGAATCAAAAGCTATGGGGCCACGGAGGAGGGAGAGGCTCTTCCTGCTAGGGATGGCTGGGGCAGAAAGGTGGGGCCTTGCAGAGGAAGTGAAATGGGGGCTGTATTGAGAGAAACAAAGACCGTCCCCATGAGAAGGGCAATCGGGGCAGAAGAAACAGCATGTGGTCAGCACTGCACTGTCAGGACTCAGGGGTGGAGAGCCCAGGGCTGGGTTGCCACAGAGCATGACTGCTTTGATTCCCACTCCCCCAGGAAAAGTCCAGCGTCCTTAGCCTGGTGACACTGTGCAAGCAGCACTAACAGTTTAGCACAGACAGAGGGATGGGTGGAAGCCTGGCCATGTCCCCGCAAGAGAACAGGATCAAAGGGCATTCACAGAGGAGGGGGCTCACCAGGGTCACACGTGAAACCCTTAAGCTTGAAATCTGGGCAACATTATAACTTGATGGTTTTCCAGTAGATGAAGGATTCTGATCTAATGTCTATTTCCACTCAGGACAAAATCAGAGGTTTCATGTCTCTAACTGAAACTTAAATTGGATTGACTTCTTAATTATTTATAATAATTATCATCCCTCCCACAGGGACAGCACTTCTAAGGTAGGCTGGGAGTGAGAGAAGGTCTCAGGCAGAAACCTATGCCTGAGCCCAGCCTTGGAGGACAACTGGGATCTGCCAGACTAGCACAGGGTAGGGTGCTCCAGGCAGAGTGGAAACATGTGCGAGGGCACAGATTTAGAGAACGCTTAGTCTGGCTGGAGCATGAAGTAACAGGGGGAGGCTGGCAGGACAGGGTGGTGGGATTGGGAGAACTGCACATGCATGCATGGACCATGGGGAACTGTGGAGGGATCTTGAGCAAAAGAGGCAAATGGACAGATGTCTATTTCAGGTCACTGGCAGAAGGTAGAAGATGAGCATGGGAGTAGACCAGATGCAGGGCCATGGGAAAGGAGTTCCCAACACCTTTCCAGGAAGGACACAAGGAAGGCTGGATCCAGGCAGGGACAGGGAGACAGGTGTGAGATGGAGAGGTATGGACGAGTCTGACTGGTGGGCAGTGGGCAGCAGCAAAGTAGGATGACCCCTTGGCTGACTGTGGCACGGGAAATGGGCAGACTGTTCACAGGGATGGGGAAGCTGAAGGAGCTGGTTTTGAGGAAAGGTGATGATTTCAGGTTGGGATACATTGAGTTTGATCTGCTTATAGAATACTAGCGTGGCTATGCCTAGAGAAGTGGAATGTTGTGGTCTAAGGAGAGAGTGGGGCCAGGACAGAGCTCTGGGGATCCTTGTGGCAAGGGGAAGACTGAGGCCGTGGGTGCAAGGAGCAGGCCCATGGGAGGGTGTCGGGTAGGAGGGGAGAAGAGAGCAGAGCACCAGCAGGCCAGAGGAAGAGGAGGGGCAGGGAAGCCCGAGGGGAGTCTGTCCAGAGGGGCTGGAGGATAGCCAGGTCATGGGGACTAAAGGAGGGCAAGGCTGAAGTTGGGGTGGAGATGAAGTCATGGGGTAGGCAAGGAAGATGAGAATCAAGGAGAAGACCCGGTGATGCTCAGAGAGGTTAAGTGACTTGCCTAAGGTCACACAGCAGGCATGTGGCAGAGGCTGCTTGTGACCTGTCTGTCCCCCTGCCCAGTGCTATATCCTTCCTCCAAAGTGTCTGGCTATCCCTGTGTCTGCACTGAATGAGACTGGGGTCCCCAGCCATGGCATCCCCCTCCACCCAGAGAGACCCTTGGCCTTTCTCCCTGAACTCCCTAAGAGTGGAAGAAGGTAGGAAGGTCTGCCTGGGCTTCTGAGTCACACTGGCAGCCCTGGAATTCCTGCCTGGCCACAGATTAGGATGATCTCCCTCAGCCTCAACTTCCCTCTCAGGAAAATGGGACCTCTGGCAGAGGGTTGTTTTAAGGATTCAGGGAGCTGGGTATAAAGCTCTCCCAGGCACAAGCTCTGCATGTGGCTGGCCGGTAAAAGTAAAATCTTCATCAGGAAGAGGGTGGCCCAGGCAGGGCGTCTCCCATCCTGCCTCCTTCCATCCAATCCCCAACACCGGTCTGGTCCACTCTGCCTGACCTACCTAGGATGGCCACGACCACGTCGTCGCGCAGGATCTCTATGGAGCCTCGGGAGATGAAGTAGAGCGTGGAGAGCACGTCGCCGAGGTGCACCAGCGTGTCCCCAGGTGGCGCGTGCGTGGTCTTGAACTTGACAGCTAGGGCGCGCAGGCAGCCCTTGCTGGCACCGCTGAAAGCCGGGCAGTGCTGCAGCAGCGCGCGGTGCAAGTGCAGGCAGATGTCGGCCTGCAGGCACTCGGGGAAGCCCTTCAGCACCTGGAAGGCGGGTGGCCCAGTCCAGCGGGGCGCGGCCTGAGTAGGGCTTGAGGAGAGGGTGGGGAGGGCTCTGGGGATGCCCCGCCCCCGCGGGACCTTGGCTCCCCCTAGGGCATTAGCCGGAGCGGCGGGGCTCACCGCGTTCATGTCAATGCCGTTGGTGTAGGACCAGGCGTGCTGGAAGTACTCCTCCAGGCGCTGGCGCAGCGGGTTGGGGATCTGGTGGAAGCGGATGAATTCCTTGACCCGCAGCATCTGCGTGTGGTAGCGCGCGGTGCCCGAATACAGGCGCTGGATGATCGCCGACACATTCCCGAAGATGCTGGCGTACATCAGGGCTGAAGGCGGGGCGAGAAGTGAGCTCTTCCGCAGCCCCACTGGGCCACGCCACCCATGGCCCACTCCGGGCCTTCCTCTTTCCAGCAGCCCCCTGATGACGGACTCCTCTGTCTAAGAAGTCAGGAGTGACCAGCACAGCGCCAGGGCACAGGGAGACAAAGGCCCCTGGGCTTCCTGCCCTCCCCTCTCTGCCCTGTGCCTCTTGGCATCTTACTGGGCCCAGCGGTCAAACTCCTGAGAAGAAAGAAGGCAGGCAATGGATTTTTAAAAGTTCAGATCTATTTTCTCCTTCAAGTTGTAGAAATAGAATAAAGAGAAAACTCTCCACCGGGTGTGGTGGCTCAGGCCTCAGTCAGCGCTTCGGGAGGCCGATGTGGGTGGATCACCTGAGGTCAGGAGTTCGAGATCAACCTGGACAACACGGTGAAACCCCGTCCCTACCAAAAAAATATAAAAATTAGCCAGGCATGGTGGTGCCTGCCTGTAATCCCAGCTACTTGGGAGGCTGAGGCATGAGAATCACTTGAACCCAGAAGGTGGAGCTTGCAGTGAGTCGATACCGTGCCACTGTGCTCCAGCCTGGGTGACAGAACAAGACTGTCTCAAAAAACAAAACAAAACAAAAAAAGAGCAAACTCGGCTGGGCGCGGTGGCTCACGCCTGTAATCCCAGCACTTTGGGAGGCCGAGGTGGGTGGATCACGAGGTCAAGAGATCGAGACCATCCTGGTCAACATGGTGAAACCCCGTCTCTACTAAAAATACAGAAAATTAGTTGGGCATGGTGGCACGTGCCTGTAATCCCAGCTACTCGGGAGGCTGAGGCAGGAGAATTGCCTGAACCAGGGAGTCAGAGGTTGTGGTGAGCTGAGATCACGCCATTGCACTCCAGCCTGGGTAACAAGAGCGAAACTCTGTCTCAAAAAAAAAAAGAAAAGAAAAGAAAAAAAAAAAAAGAGAGAGAGAGAAAACTCTCAATTTCTTGTTTTCAGCCATTTTCTTCCCTTGTTTTTGTTTTTCTGAGCTTTCGCATCTCTAAATACTCTGAACATGACAACTCAATCTAGGTGTAAAATTCCACGCTGCCTTTTATGTTCCTAACCCAGGTGTCTTGGGAAGCAGGCAGCTGGGAGCAGGGACTGAGAGCAGCACAGCCTTGGAGCTGAACACCTGGGCTGGGATCGGGTCACTCGGACATTACCTAGCTGTGTGCCCTCTGGCAAGTTAGCACCATGTGGTTTCTTGCTTTGTACACTGGGCTCAGAAGGGAATGAGATGTGGGTTTTTGTAAAGTATTTAAGAGTGCCTGGCAGGGCTTGCTTCATGTGTGCAACCTGTGTGGACACACGAGGCTGCATGCTAAGAGCCCTGCATTTGGTTTAATACTTAGCTGTCACTGTAAAAAAAAAATCTTAATAATTTTTTTTTTTTTGAGATGGGGTCTCTGTTGCCCAAGATAGAGTGCAGTGGAACCATCTTGGCTCACCTCAATCTCCGCTTCCCAGGTTCAAGCAATTCTCCTGCTTCAGCCTCCTGAGTAGCTGGGATTACAGGCATGCACCACCACACCCAGCTAATTTTTGTATTTTTTTAGTAGAGACAGGGTTTCACCATGTTGGTCAGGCTGTTCTCAAACTCCTGACCTCAAGTTTCCATCTGCCTTGGCCTCCCAGAGTGCTGGGATTACAGGCTTGAGCCACCACACCTGGCTGATTCTTAATTTTTCAACAAGGGTTCCTATACTTTTATTTTGCTCTGGGCCCTGGAAATTATGTAAATTTTCTCTGGGTCCAGCAAATTATTTCCTGGTGACTGGCAGATAGTACAGGCTGTGTGAGTGTTAAATTTTGTGTACAATTGGTGCACACACCAGCAAAAATTCATTGTGCTGCACACTTAGGATCAGTGTACTGCATGAATTATTTCTGTGTGTTATATTCTATCTCAGTACAAAACTAACAAATACAATTTCTTAGGTAAGGCCAGGGTATGAGGTTAGGCCATGGCATGAGGTCTCACTCACAGCCGATGAGCATGATGCAGATGGAGAAGACCTTCTCGGAGTTGGTGTTGGGTGAGACGTTGCCAAAGCCCACGCTGGTGAGGCTGCTGAAGGTGAAGTAGAGGGCTGTGACATACTTGTCCTGCACCGAGGGGCCTGAGGCTGGGTCACTGCTGTTGTAGTGCTTGCCAAGCTGCACACCCAGGCTGTCCAGCCAGCCGATCTTGTGTTCCAGGTAGGGCCGCTCCACGTTGCCAATGGCATACCAGATGCAGGCCAGCCAGTGCGCGATGAGTGCGAAGGTACACATGAGCAAGAAGAGCACAGCTGCCCCATACTCAGAGTAGCGGTCCAGCTTCCGTGCCACGCGCACCAGCCGCAGCAGCCGTGCTGTCTTCAGTAGCCCAATCAGGGTCGTGGTCTGGAGGGGCAGGGAAACGGTCACAGGGCTGGGGTGTCAGCCCTTGGAAGGGTGTACTCAGGCCTACTTTTGTTCTCTCATGCATACAACCACATAGCCATTCAACATTTATGGAGAACCTGCTCCAGGCCATGCACTTGGCAGTGTGGCATGGTATGGGACCTTAAGGATCTCAGCCTAAAGCTCAAAACAGTGTTCTGGTTGCTAGGACAGAAGTCCAATAGGAGCACAGAGGAAGGGGAGGTCAAGTCTGCCAGGGTAGGTCAGGGTGGCTTCACGGAGGAGGTGATGCATGAGCTGAGCCTTGAAAGAGGAGGCTAGGGCTCCAGGCAGACAGGAGGGAGAGGAAAAGGGCACTCCTGGCTCAGGGAACAGCATGAGCAGCAGCACTGAGGTGTGAAGTGTGTGGCCCACAAGGGAAACCAAGTGTGGCACTGTAGCCTGGTGCACATGTGGGAGATGGAGGAACAGTGAGAACCACGCCTGGGAAGGGCAAGGTGGGCAAGGGCTGCTCCCTGAGGGCCTCAAAGTCTATCACGAGCTTGGCTTTTATTCTGCAGACTTTGGGGAGCCACTGAAAGTTCTGAGGACCCTGTACATCCCGGAGGAACACAGGGTCAGGTAAGTGATCTGAAAGTCGCTGAGGCAACTGTGTGGAGGGGCGGGAGGCTGGCAAGTTTTGTGCTGGGGCACAAGTGAGTACAAACGCCACTCAGTGTCCAGGTGGGGACAATGGGGGCAGATTTGCTGAGGGGTGGTATTAGGGGGGCTTGGAGCAGAGGATCCCTGCTGGACACCCACTGCTGGACAGGTTGGCGTAATGAGGGGGCACTGGAACACAGAAGGCAGAGTTGATTTCAGTGAAAAGCTGATCCCGAGGAGTGCGGCAGGAGGAGACTGTGGGACTGGAAGCTATGAGAAAGGCATGAAGATGCCTTCAGGTCACCTATGGGCAGCCTGGTGGGCATAGTGGAGGGCTAGGGGGTAAGGCGGGAGCAAGGCTGGAGGAGTGGCCTGGGGATCCCTTTCTTCCTCCAAGAAGAAAGGGACCCTTTTTCAACAAGGGTCCCTATGCTTTTATTTTGCTCTGGGCCCTGCAAATTATGTAAATTTGCTCTGTGCAGTTTGGAAGTCAGCATGAGGGGTCAGGACCACATGAGTGCCCGTCCTGGAAGGGGTAGCCTGCTTCTCTCACCAGGGCCTGCTCAGAGAGGGGGCAGAGGGGCAGAGGCCTGGGGGTTGCAGTCTTGGCTGGTCCTTCTCCAGGGCTGAGAGGTGACATGTTTGGGGCCTCCTCTCCACCAGCAAAGGTGCCCAGGCCCAGGTACTCTCAGCATTCAGTGCTGTGCAACAGGGAGGGCTCGAGGCCAGCGTGCAGAGGACAGCCATGGCTGCTGGCCTGGAGGGGGTCTGCTCACCTCATCAGAGCCGGTGCGGAAGATAAGGAGGTCAAAAGGGATGGCGGCCACCATGTCAATAAGGAACCAGCCCTTGAAGTAATGGATGGCGATGCGGCGGGGGTGGCTGACCACCTCATCGTTGTTGTTGACGTAGGTGGTACGGAAGTTGATGACGATGTCCACAACGAACATGATGTCCACAATGAGATCCACCATGGTGAGGGGACTGCAGGTATAGCCACAGGCCCCACGCTGTGACTCATCCTGGTCGCTGAGCAGGAAGGCGGCTGAGTAGGGCGTGAAGACGGCTGTGTAGATGACTAGCAGTAGGATGAGCCAGTCCCACACGGCCTTGAAGGGGCTGTAGTGCAGGATGGTCCAGCGGTGGATGCGCGGCGCCTGCAGCTTGTACTCGGGCAGCACATCCGCACCCAAGGACAGGACCTGGGGGTGGGGGCCAAGGGTGGTCAAGTTGGGGGTGGCCACTGCTGGTGAGACCGGCTGGAAGGCTGAGGTCTGGGGAGGGTATAGTGGGAAAGGGTGGGTGACCAGCGCTCTGCCAGGCAGAGGGCATGAGGGAGAGATGGGGTGGGGGATGACTGAGAAGGCAAGTTCTTAAGAGGACAGATGCCTAAGGAGGAAGTGCAGAAAAAGGAGGTGGGATGCAAGAGGAGAGGTGAGGCTCTGCCCCATAGTGACCCCAGGTTTGATGCTCACAAGCTCCCTTGGAAACATCCTGAAGTGGGTGGAGCCAGACAGGGGAGGGCCAGGCCCATGTCATCTGTGTGTCCATTCCACACAAGAGCCCACCAAAGGGATAGCTGGTGGGCTGATCCTCTCTGGTGGGCTTGGGAGGCCTCCTATGGTCAGGGCTCCTGATAGGAACAGGTCACTCCTAGAAGAGCGTCTTCCTTTCTGAGGGCCCTGGGGAGCCTGGACCAGTGAGCACCCTCTCTGGGGCCAACTCAGAACCTTCCATGGAAAGAGTCCATGGGGTAGGGGTGTAGCCAACCTGGACCCTCAACAGGTCCTGGGCACCACGGAAAACTGACTCCTCCTCACATATCCAAGGGTTTGAAATCATCACCTTCAGCAGAGCCTTCTCCCTTCTCCCCTCCCACCCCTGCCTCCAAGACTGTGACCAACCCTGGATCCCTAGGCCCCAGCACAACATGCCCCAGCTCTGCCCAGCTGCCCAACACAAGAGACGGCCAGGGCATTAGGAAGGGCATGGGTACTGAAGCTAGGCCTCCCCGGTTGAATCCCAGATGTGACATGTGCTACAGGTGAGCCTTGGGCAAGTTTTGTAACCTCTGTGAGCCTCAGTTCCCTCATCTGCAAAATGGAATCGCAAAGGACAACTAAAGCCACAACAAAAGTAGTGAGGAACATCTATTCTACATCTGTTCTCATGTAGATGGTGAGAGTCATCTGTTCTCATGTAGATGGTGAGATGCACCTGTTCTCATGTAGATGGTGAGATGCACCTGTTCTCATGTAGATGGTGAGAGTCATCTGTTCTCATGTAGATGGTGAGATGCACCTGTTCTCATGTAGATGGTGAGATTCATCTGTTCTCATGTAGATGGTGAGATGCACCTGTTCTCATATAGATGGTGAGATGCACCTGTTCCCATGCAGATGGTGAGATTCATCTCTTCTCATGTAGTTGGTGAGATGCTCCTGTTCCCATGTAGATGGTGAGATGCACCTGTTCTCATGTAGGTGGTGAGATGCATCTGTTCTCATGTAGACGGTGAGATTCATCTGTTCTCATGTAGTTGGTGAGATGCACCTGTTCCCATGTAGATGGTGAGATTCATCTGTTCTCATGTAGTTGGTGAGATGCACCTGTTCCCATGTAGATGGTGAGATGCACCTATTCCCATGTAGATGGTGAGAATCATCTGTTCTCATGTAGATGGTGAGATACACCTATTCTCATGTGGTGAGATGCACCTGTTCCCATGTAGATGGTGAGATGCACCTGTTCCTATGTAGATGGTGAGATTCATTTGTTCTCATGCAGTTGGTGAGATGCACCTGTTCTCATGTAGATGGTGAGATGCACCTGTTCCCATGTAGATGGTGAGATTCATCTGTTCTCACAGAGATGCACACACTGCTCTACACGCTAATTCCTCATCCACTATCCTCCTCCCTCCTCCTCATCAGACACTGCTCCAGACAAGGATAGAGCCAGAGGGGTGTCCCATGGACCCCCCACCTCCCACCAGATGAGAGCTGATGAATGGTTCTCATTTAGGAAAATTTGCAATGTAAGGTTTGACCATGCAAACAAAGTCAATTAGCAGATGGGATCACAATAAGGAAGATCCACTTGGTTTCAACCAGCGGGTCCCTATCTGACATCCAAACCCTTGAGTGGGGCAACTGTGTCTCCACCCTGCAGTGACCTGCTCAGCCTTGAGGCCTTGCTGCGCACTTCCCCAGGAAGCCCCCTCTGACTCCACATGAACTTGGGCTCTTTTTTAATTTTCTGCTTGCCCTGTATCTACCCAGCTGCATGGTGGTTCTCCACTGAGCCATAGGCTTGCTGAGTTTGGCTCCCTCACTGATCCTCTTCTCCCTGTGTGCCTAGCTCTTGGTCCACATGGGCTCTCAACTACAGACCCCTGAATGAGCATGGGAGACTGGGGCTCTAATCATACCCTGGGCATCAGAGCCGCTCCCCCTCCTCCCGAGGGCCACTAGGACCCTGCTAGGGTGAAACAAGGCCCTTCCCTAGGCCTGCCTGGGTGGGGAGTGGCAGGGAGACAGAAGGAATGGTGGGGGGTGGTTTAAAGTAGGGTGAGAAGAGAGTTCCTCAATTCCTCAGGGACCCCAGATAGGGGAACCCCCAAAATCTCCCACTGCCTCCAAAGCCAGGTCAAAGGCCCTCCATGGCAAAGCCCACCCTGCCCCATGTCCCCCAGAGCTGCAAAGCCCTCAGGATACTCAGGCTCCAGTGTAAGCCCACAGCCGTTGAGGCTCTTTAAGTTCTGGTTGAGGCCGATGTGACTTCCCTGATCTGGATCCTCGCCTGCCGCTTCCCCTGAGATCTGTCAGGCACCTCCCTGGGCCTAGGACCCACATGGAGCAGGGGAGTGATGCCAAGAGGGGCTGAGCTGAGGAACAAACAGGGTCAGGCAGGTTGGGCAGGCGCTGGGACTATGGGCCCCAGTCAGGCCTCGCCATCTTCACCGACCACTCTCCAGTCTAAAAGCCCCCACCATGGTAGTCATCAGATGCCCTGGGGTAAGCAGCTGGGGGGCTTCCCAGGGTCAGGCTTTTGGGCCACTCTGTCTGACCTCAGAGGGCACAGTCATATAACCTGACATCCCGTCCTCCTCAGGATCCTTGAGCTCAGGATCCTTGAGCTCAGTGAGGTGCTGCGTGGTCTTTCCCACACCTGGTTCCAGCAGCAATTGTGTTTCAGGTGAAAAGAGGCAGGGGGGAAAAGAGCTGTCCCCAGCCCCAACACAAAGACAGCCCCAGGGAAGCTGGGAGCAGGCCCTGCCATGCTCTACATTGCTCAACCTTGGCCTGGACCCCTGGCTTTGTCTGCCTCCTGGGGCCAGTACTACTCAATGTCAAATGGGTCCCCAGAGACCATTTAGTCCTTATCTGGGACCATTTAGTCCTTACCTCTCCTGTAGATGAAAGCCCTGAGGCCTAGAAAGGGGGCTGGAAGTTCCCCGGGCCAAAGTCACACAGGAAGTCAGTGCTGGTCACTGGAGCCTTGGGCAGGGCTCCTTGCATTTCCCTCTGGAATTGTCAGGCCTTCCAGCCTCATGAGAAGGGACAGCAGGGTGAGCTGGAGCAGAGGACCCAGGGAAGTCTGCCTTGAGCTGGCCAAGGAGGAGGCTGCAGGGGTCCTTCAGGGCCTGGCCCTCAGGAAGCTGATCAAAGATAACTAGAGGTGCCAGCCCTGCCCTGCCCTGCCTGGCATGCAGGATGATCCTGTGTTCATGTTGGAAGGAAGTAGGGAGGGTGGCTTTTGTCTTAAAGGCAAGGGGTTGACACAGGGCTGGGACTTCCCCACGGCTCTCCTCCCATTTTGGCCCTGGCATGTGTCCTCTCTGCCTCTCCTTCCCTGGGACTAGCTCAGCTCTGGGGAGGCCCCCATGGTGGCCTGCATGTCCACCACATGCCCTGGCTTCTCCAGGCCTAGGAATCAGCATCACTCATAGGCCCTGCTGACCCCAGCCTCCTCTGGCTCTAGGAGCTGGGCACCAGGGCTGTGACCTCAGGGCAGGCCTTTAGGTCTTTAGATCTCAAACAGGATGGGAGGCCTGCCTGGGGCTCGAACCAGATATTAAAGGCTGGATGGGAAGAATTTCTTTGCCAGCCAAGGCCCCAGAGGGCCTGGGCCCAGAGCCTGGGAGGGGACCCTGGAGACCTGGCATAGCCCCGCACACCGTGCCTTGCAGGCCCGCACCTGGGTGACCTTTTCAGTGACATTCTGTGTCCGCTCCACCACCTTGTGGGGCGCAATGATCTCAATCTCTGTGGTCGAGCTGGAGCGGTGCTTCTCCAGGTTGAACTCCACGAAGTTGAGCGTGAACTGCGGGATCTGGCTGATGGTCCTGTACTTGCCCCTGCCTGTGCCTGGTCCTGGTCCGCCTGGCCTGCTGTGAGAGCCCTCTGAAACCAGGGACAGAAGTCAGAGCAGCCACAGTCAGGGAGTCCTTCCCGCCGCCACCCACACCCTGCCTCACCGGAGCCCAGGAAGCTCTGGGACAACAGGCGCTGGGACAAGCTGCGGCTGCTGCGCTTGGCCAGGAGCTCGGCCAGGTCCTCGAAGTTGAGGATGAACATGATGACACCCCCGTCCTCGTTCTTCACAGGCACCACGTCCACCAGGCAGCGGAAGCTGGAGGCTGCAAAATGCCATTGGGAGTATGGAGGGTGGGTGGGCCCTGAAGGGGTTCCCTCCTGCAGTGACCTGGCTAGAGAAGGGGCTGAGTGAAGGTCAAGTGAAGGTCAGCCACTGGGGTTAAGAGGCCTGGACAGTAACCAGAGCTACTGGGCAGAGGGTGGGTGAGGCTGCGCAGCTGGTGCTCCACCCACAGGGCAGAGGTGGGGAGAGTGGCTAAGCTGTTCATTAGGCGATAAGGTAGCATCAGATCAGGCCCAAGTCCATGCTCAGCCATCAGCTTAGAGCTTAACCTCAGGGTCTGCTTCTGCTGTAATTAAAGCTGAGCAGATGGGGGTGGATTAAGTGGGGAAGTGAGACTGGGCATTCTACCCCATGGAGCTGGGTTGGCTGTGGCCTCTCTTCCCATATTCCCATCCCACAAAGATGCCCTGCTCCTGCCATGTGGGGTGGAACTTGTTGAAAGCATACTAAATGCTGGGCACAGGGCCAGTTGAAACATTAGTCCTCAGGAGGTTCTTGAGGGGCAGGCATGGACCCCCATTCTGCAGAAGAGAGCCTGGGGCTCTCAGAAACTGACTTGCAAGGGCTGGGAGGGAGCATGGAGAAAAGATCTGTGGGTTTGCAGGACACGATAGCTTGGAAAAGGGAAGGGACTTGTCTGGGAGGAAGGTGCTGGGGCCAGAACCAGGCTGCTGCTCTGGGCCTAGGAGGAATGTGGGATCCCAAGGCAAGGCTGGGCCCAAGGAGCAGGCAGGGCAGTGGCCTGGGTGCCAGAGAGGGAGAGGGATGGTCATGTGGGGGCAGGACAGGCCTCTCCCACCATCCTCCCCACCATCCCGGGCAGCCCACACCCAGCTGCTGGCTGCCCTGTGCCTCTCAGGCCACAGTCTCTGTCCCTGTCTCTGCTCCAGGGTCTCACCACAGACCCCATTGGTGGGTGGAACAATACCAGCTAAAATGCTGCCCCATATCTGGCCTGGCACAGTGGCTCACACCTGTAATCCCAGCACATTGGCAGACTGAGGCAGATGGATCATTTGAGGCCAGGAATTCAAGACCAGCCTGGCCAACATGGTAAAACCCCATCTCTACTAAAAACACAAAAATTAGCCAGGCATAGTGGTGTGCATCTATAGTCCCAGCTACTCAGGAGGCTTAGGCAGCAGAATCACTTTGACCCAGGAGGCTGAGGTTGCAGTGAGCCAAGATCATGCCACTGCACTCCAGCCTGGGTAACAGGGCAGTCATCTGTCTCAAAAAAATAATAAGAAATGAACAAAATACCCCGTATCCAAGAGCCCCAGGCCAGGCACCCCATGAGCACCCTCTCTGTGGGAGTCCTATGACCCTCAAAGTGCTGGCAGGTGTCAGGCCTGAGGGGTCAGGGGCCTCAGGGGCAGGGGCCTCAGGTGATCATGCAAATGAGAAGGTGGAGCTGCACTCCCTGAGGGCAGGTTAGGCTCTGTTTCACCTGTCCCAGGTGTTGTTTGTTGACTGAGTGAATGGAAGCCTGTGTGTGTGAGTATGGGGGATGCAGGCTGGCCACTGGCGGGAGTATCACTGGATCGACTCTCCACCAGACTCCTTGTTTTTTTGTCCTCAGTCCCTCCTCACAGCCATCAGAGCTGGGCTGCAGCTGAGCCACCCTTATCCTCCCTCTCGCTTTCCTCTCCGGGGAGTAGGAATCTCCCATATCAGATTCCTGGACTCCTAGGCACCAGGCAGCCATCTGCCATCTGCTGCCTGGGCCCAGGGGAGACATCCACACTGGGGAGAGGTGCCTGCCTGCTTCACCCACTCCTGGGCGCACAGGGCTATAGGCCCAGCCTCCCAGGCCCAAGCCCATCACTCTAGTCAGCCTGGGGCATGGCGATGCTTGGACGCTGGGACCTAGACAGAGAGCCTCTTGGCCAGTGGCCTGAGACACTGCTCCTAAGGCCAGATTATATTGTCAATCTCTCTGGCATTGCAGAGATCTGGCCTGGTAGAGGGCAGGGAGAGGGCAGAGCTGGGCAGAGAGGCAGGGGGCCTCCAGGCTGTCTAAGCTGCTGGGGGCTGCCAATCCACAGTCTTGGAGTGGCTGCAATTGATGTTACTGGCACCCAGCAATTTATGTTACTGGAAAATTGATGCAGTTGGAAAACTACAGCTGGGAATGGACCAAAGACCAGCCCATTATAGCAGTGAGAGCCAGGGCTGGGGTGGGGGGGGGTCGGTGTGTGGTACCCCATGCCCCACCCCCATGCCTGTGGCCTGTGGAGTAGGCAGACAGGAGGCTAGGAGGATTTAGAAGAGTCCAGAGCATTCTCTCTCCCCCTGCCCCAGGCTGTCCTTGCTTACCTGTGGCTCGAGCCCCACCCACAACAAAAGCCCATATCTAGGTGACCAAAAGTGGGTGAGTGTACCATCTCAGGTCGTGCCCAGGAGTGGCAGGCAGTGTTCCCATGCCCTCACAGGGGCCCTCTTCATCCTTTCAGGAGCTCCTCCAAGCACCCCCCTCTCCAACCAAGGGCAACAGTTTTGTCTGCCCCCTGGGAATTCCCATTCCTTCTTATCCACTAGGTTCTTACTTTTCTTAGCAAAAGCACCCCACTTCTCTCCCTTGGGATACCCCACTTCTCTCTGTTCTTCTCCTCCTCTCAAGTGTGCTCCTTCCTTCAGTTTCTCAGCACTCACAGCCTCCTTGTTGTCTTCACCCCATCTGATGCATACTCTGTCCAGCACTGTGGTGAGCCCCCAGGGAGGGGCTGGTGCTACAAAAAGCTGCGGCTGAGAGGGTGGCCACTGCATGTCACCTCCTGTCTTGGTCCTCCTGTCATTCATGGCTGCCCATATGGAAAACATGGTAGGGGGGCAGACAGCAGAGCCTGTCCTGTCCTCCTCATCCAGAGCTGAGGACTGGAGAAGTCCCAGGTCTCCTCTAATTTGGCTTGGGGATTAGGGAACTCCCTGGTTCAGGATCCTCAGAGAATAGGACCGGGGAAAGGCAGGCTGGGGTGGGCTCTCGGGCAGGTGCCGGTATGAGGCAGGTGTGGGTGACAGTGGGCAGATCTGAGTGCTCTCCTTTCTTCCTCCCGAACTCTTGCTGGTTCTAGTCCTGACACATGGCCGTTTCTTCTTATCTATTAGGTTCTCACCACTTCTAGCAAAAATAGAGGAAGAGCCAGTTTTCCAGGGGTCTCTGAACTGTCTCCTGGGGTATTTTTGCCAAGTGCCCTGGCCTCTTTGAGCCCAACTGTCTGTAGCTGCAGAATGTGGAGCTATGTGAACCCAAACCCTCCACATTGATTTTGAGAATTTTCAGTGGATTACCCCTTTAGAGGAAAAGAGGATTATATATAAATCAGCTAGAGATCTGCTCAGGACCCCTTCCCACGGCCCCTGAAGTTGGGAGTTTGAGGGAAGGGAGGTACTGACCCGAGGAGGAAGGAAATCACCATTAGGACGCCCCTCAGCAGGACTGTAAGATGTCTGTGAATATGATCAAAAAAGGATCATGTGCCAGCCTGGGCAACACAGTGAGACCCCATTCCTACAAAAAATTAAAAAATTAGCCAGGTGTGATGGTGCACACCTGTAGTCTCAGCTACTTGGGAGGCTGAGATGGGAGGCTACAGTGAGCTATGTTCTTGCCAGCCTGGGTGACAGAGTGAGACCCTGTCTCAAAAAAAAACAAAACAAAAATAAAAAACAAAAAAAAAAAAAAAGAAGGGGGATTATATGTGGTCACAGTGGACCTTAAAGTGAACATCAGTTATCTTAGCACAACATCCTTCCCTTAGGGTAATGCAGGCCAGGAAGTTCCCTTTTCTGGGTTTCAGAACAATTTTAGGAAGGTCCAGGTAGTCAAAGTCTTGGGCAATAAGATAGGGAAGGGCTGAGGGTGGGATGGCAGGAGATTGGGACTTATAGGGCACCAGGTATGTGGGTAGTTTCCCATTTTTACCCAAGGTCAGCCCCCGAGATGAGGTTCCTAGGTTCCCTTCTGAGAGCTGAGGACACCTGCAGAATTCTGATCTGAGTCCTGATCTCAGGGGGCCAAGGCCAGGCTTTGACTTCTGCCCTCTGCCCAAACACCTGCAGGGTGCTGAGGGGACCCCAAGAGCCATAACCTGACATCCCCAGGAGTCTGGGATCAGGTATAGTTCTAGTGACAAGGAGAGGGAAAGAAAGGACTTATGGTACCCACCTCCCCATTTCCTGCTGTCCCATCCTGTTCCCCCAGGACCCTTCTCACTCCCCTGACTCTCACCTCCTCTCTGCAATGCTGTGAGGAGGTGAGGTCACAGCTTTTAAATATTCTGACTTCATTAACCCTGTGTGTACTGCCACACTAAGCCAGATTCTTCCCAGTCCCCTCCTGGCTGCCCCTGCCTGCTGCACTTCCCACTGCCACTCATTCGGGTGGCAGCAGCAGGAACAACCAGGACCTACCCAAGAAGCTCTCTGAGAAGCCTGTAAACACACACACACACACACACACACACACACACACACACGTAAGCACAAACACACACACTTGTAAGCACACACACACACACTTGTAAGCACAAACACACACACACAGGCACACATGTGCAAGCACACACATATTCATGTTCCACACACTCCAGGCCCCTGAAACTCAGGCTCTTAGCACCCCTCAGTCCCAATCCAGAGGCATCCATTCTTTATTTGCCCTCAGGTGGCCTCATGCCTGCCTTCCCTGGGGACTGCTCCCTCCTGAGCACCTCATTCCCCAAAAATCCTGCCTTCAAACAGAAAGGCAGCTGGGGTCCTTTCTCTACTCTTGGGACTACTCAAAACAGAAATTTCCAAGGGAGGAATCCAGGGACTTGGATTCCAGTCCCCAGTTGGACTCTAGCAGTGGGATCTTGGGCAAATCCCTTCCACACCTATGAAATGAAGGGATTTATCAAAGCCAGTGGCTCCTGAACTAGGCAGGACATCAGAACCACCAGGGAGATATTTCCAAATAAACCCACTTGGCCTCATCTCACACCTTCTGAGTCAGCCTCTCTCTAGAGAAAGTATGTTTTGGAAAACATGCCCTGGGTAATTCTGATGCAGAACCAGGTTGGGGGCCATTGATTCAAGAGATTTCCAAGGACATTCAGACTCTTCTCCTCATTCCCACCCATCCTGGCAGGTCCAGTGAGGACCCTGTGGTCCTAGTTTGAGGAGGATTTCCAAAGGCTGCTGAGCTGTGTCTTCAGCCCCGACCTATGCTTCTGTTCTGCTCACAGTACGCTCCAGCTGGCAGTAACAACCCAAACTCCATCTGAATAAGCTTCCTGGTCAAGGAAAACTCCAGACCCTGTCTCCCCAAAGAGCTAAGACCGGATGAGGCAGGCCCACCCCTCTTTCCCAGCCAAAAGCCCCCACGCCTTGTCTGGCCACAGAGACCTTGAGGAGGTGACTCCTCCTCTAATCCCTGGAGCAGACAAAGATGAGGGAAGGTTAATTTCCATCTGTCACTGTCAGGCAGCTGGGACTGACTGTGACAGAGTGGAGAGCCAGGAGACGAGGGAAAGGGGTCGGGGGGAGGGATCGCAGAGCAGGAAGCCCTGCCCCAGGCCAGGACCTGTGGGTGGCCCAGCCTGATCCCTGGCTCCTGCAAAGGACTTCAGAAGGCATCATATCCAATGCCCGTGGAGGAACCAAGACCCCTAGAGGAAACAGGGTTTGTTTAGGCCTTTTGGTCCCTGGGTCAGTGCCGTCCCCAAGGCCACCCTGGCTGGACAAGACAGAGGGCCAAGCCTGCCCTGCAGAGGCTCTGGCCCTCATGTGCCTCACCATCTTTTCGGTAGTAGAGGATGTCCACCTTGCACTCCTCAGCCCCCAGCAGGGCCTGCGCCAGGCGGGACACAGCGCTGCTCGGCGTGTTGGGACCTGTGAGGAAGTCGCAGGTGCAGGGTTGCTGCATCACCTCCACTCGGGAGTAGCCAAAGAGTTCGCAGAAGCCGTCATTGCAGTAAATGATGGCGCAGTTCTCCATCTGAGCATTGGCGATCAGGAACTTACGACCTGGGGTGGAAGGTGGGAGGTGGGAGGCCAAAAGTCGGTGGGAACCAGGATCCCGAGGCAGGGAAGGAAAGATTGTAAGGACTCTTGGTGGCAGTGAGGGGAATTTAGGCAGAGGAGCAGGGCAGTGATCAGAGTGAGGGAGGGAGTCAGGCCTGGAGATTGTGGGAAGACTAGGGCAGTGAGGGTCATGAGGTGGAAGGAAGGCTCAAGGCCTCCTGGAAACAGGAAGGGTGTCTAGAAGGGAGACAGGAATGTGACCAGATGGGGTTCCAGCCTGGGAAAGCTCCTGGGCAACACCAGAGCCAGGATATGAAAAGGAAGGACTCAAAAAATTCTCTGGAGGACACGGGTGGAGGCGGACAGTGGCTGCAATGGGAGGTTCAGGCTTGGGGCACTGAGGAAACAGCTGGGGGTGGGGAGGGAAGGGCTGCACGTTGCTCCTTGTGTTCCAGAAAAGAGCACGGCATTTGAGGGGAGCGGGTCCCGCTGGAGAAGAAGGTGTTGGGGACATCAAAGGAAGGATTTTGCATTCAGCACCCCGCACTCACCACCTTGCCCGGTTAGAAGTTAGTAAAGGGGTCCGGCCCCGCTTTCACGGAACTAGGACTCCAGATCGTCCCCCCCGCCCCAACATACACACACTCACTCTGGCCCTCGAACTTGCGGATGATGGTGTCCAGGTAAGTGTTTTGGGGAGCGACGTGGCCCCTGCGGACCGGCATCTTTCGACCTCGGCCCCTGCCCGGAGCCACAGGCGCCCCAGCTCTCGGCGTCTCCGCCTGTCCTCAGGCTCAGCAGCGTCTGGCTCCGGTGGGCACCGCCCCCGGGGAGGGCCGCTGGGCTCTGCGCCCCGCCCGCCTGCCCGCCTGCCCGCCTGCCCGCCTGCCCGCGTCTGCCCTCCCCTCCCCTCCCTTCTCCACCCCTGCCCTACCTCTCCTCTCCTTTCCTGCGCTCCCTGCCCTCACCTCCCCTCCCTGGCCGGCGCCCTCCGCGCCTGCTCCCTTCAGCGACGGCCCGGGAGCTGTCCACGCCGTGGTGCTGAAAGAAGCCGCGCGCCGGCGTTGGGGCGGGGGCCGCTGGGCGGGGCAGTTTCTTTGGGACCCGACGGGGCTGGGGCGGGGTCTTGCATCCTATGGGGCGGGGCGGGGCAGGGCTGAGGACCTGGAATAGGGCAGGTGTTCTTTGAGGAGCTGCTTCTGTTTGTGTCCCAAGCGCCAGTGGCCTCAGCACCTCTCGGATCCTGTCCCAGTACCAAAGGGCAGTCTCCCCTCCCAGTGCAGGGAGTCCCCCAGGCAGGAGAGGGGGCTGCAGAAGGGATTGTTAGGGGCCTCAGGTGGTCTTGGCTGAAGGCTCTCTTCCGGGTCTGACCACTGAGCCAGACCCTAGCAATGATACCATTAGGCCTCTGGCCTGCTCTTATAGCAAGTTGCTTCCAGCTCAGCTGAGACCCAGGTCCCATGCAGAGCTCCTGCTGCCAAGCCCAGCATGAAGATATGCAAGAAATATGCAATAAGGGCCAGGTGCAGTGGCTCACACCTGTAATCCCAGCCCTTTGGGAGGCAGAGGCAGGACGATCACCTGAGGTCAGGAGTTTCAGACCTGCCTGGCCAACATGGCAAAACCCTGTCTCTACTAAAAATACAAAAATTAGCTGGTGTGGTGGCATGCAAGCCTGTAATCCTAGCTACTTGGGAGGCTAAGGTAGGGGAATTGCTTGAACTGACGAGGCAGAGGTTGCAGTGAGCCAAGATCACTGCAACTCCAGCCTAGGCAACAGAGTGAGACCCTATCTCAAAAACAAAAATAAAAACCAAAAACAAACAACAACCAAAAAAAAAAAAAAAAAAGAAGAAAGAAAGAAAGAAGAAAGAAAGATGGATGGATGCAATAAGTGCCTTCTTCAGAGGCCTAAGAGCTCTTAGCATACAGGTACATCTTGGAAGGAGAACAAATTTAAAACCACCTCTTAGTAAGTGACCACTGATAAAAGTGTCTGAGTACTAACTGAAAATGAACACACTAGAAAAAGCAGATGGGGGTGGGATGAGGTTTACTGAAAGAGGCTTCCTGGAGAGGAAAAGGAGAAGGTGACCACTGTTGACTGAGCATCTGGGTGGGCTTGTCATGCTGCAGAGAGTTTGGTGAGCAATTTTGAGCCTGATCTTGGAGGGCAAGCATTCAAATGGGGCATGCACCTTAGGCAAAGGCCAAAGATTATGTCAGTGCAGAGGGGCTGGGGCGGGGGGACAATGGGGTGTGGGAGAGGTGAGTTTGGAGGAAAGTGGTAATGAATAAAGACCCTCAGATGCCATTTTGAACATCTAGATTTAATTGATGAACAACCAAGTTCTTAAGGAATTAGACATGAAGGAAATATTCTGGTGACATAAACTTTACAATGGTGGATAGAGGAGGGAGGATAGACAAGGAGTCTCAGCGAGGTTTTTGCTGGAGTCCAGGTGAGAGGCTTGGAGTCCTGGGTGGGATGTGCCTTTGTCATGCACAGCCACAGTGCCTAATGGGGGCCTCTTTGGCCACTGTGGCTGGGGGATGGAAGTGGGCAGAGATGTCCTGACTGTCCCTTTGTTGGACAGGTTGGCTGTGGAGGAAAAGAAGGGGCTATTACCCATGAGCTCAGTGCATGGGGTTCTGAGCTCTGAGGAGGGACTTGGGCAGTGCGACATTTATTAATTAGCTTATTCTATCATTTTCCAAGTCCCCTTTGTGCACCATGGCCTGTGCTGACAAGAGTTGTTACACAGGGGCACACTCCTGATGTGTGTATCACTCTTATAGAGCTGATAGCTAGTAATAGGGACAAGTAAGGACATTATAGCACAGAAAAGTAAGAGCAGGGACAGAGTCATCAAACGAGGGTGCTGTAGAGCCTGGGGCTGGAGCAAATGCTTGGGCTCAGCCAGATCTCAGGAAGACATCTTGAAACTTGGACAGAGGTAGAGTTCATGGAGATCTCAGCCTAGTATCGCTGTCCCCTGAACATGTGACTTTGGGGCTCAGACTCTTTTTTTTTTGAGACGGAGTCATGCTTTGTCACCCAGCCTGGAATGCAGTGGCGCAATCTCGGCTCACTGCAACCTCTGCCTCCTGGATTCAAGCAAATCTGTCTCAGCCTCCTGCATAGCTGGGATTATAGACCCTGTGATCTGCCTGCCTCAGCCTCCCAAAATGCTGGGATTACAGGTATGAGCCACTGTATCCAGCCTGGGGCTCATATTCTTAATTCAGAGAGAGCTATTATCCTCTTTTGGCCACTCTCCCACCAGCTCAGTTGCAGCCCAGGTACCCCTTCTCTGTAGTTACTGGCTATAATGCCTTTTCTCCTCAAGTCTCTTCTATTTTTTGACAGACACTGACTCCCTGCTTCCCCAGGAACCCATGGAACCTCCATCCAGACTCTTTGAATCCCCAAATATTGGATGTAGCATCCTCATGGCAGGCAGTCCCAGAATGAACTAGGGGAGGCAAAGGCCTCTTTCCCCAGGCTTGTTTCTAGGCACTAATTTCCCAAATAGTCTGCTACAGTTCTGTCCTTCCTGTCCTCCCCATCCCCCGTTGAGCCTGAAAAGGTGCTCTTTGCTCTGTGCTTGCTCCCCAGGGCAACGGGCCAGGCAGCAGGTGTGTGTGTGTTGAACAAGACCATCTCCAGAGCAGAGTGGCTGGAGATGAGCTTTGTTTAAATATTAAAGAAGTCAATCATTAATCAAGCCTGGCTCAGTGCCCAGCAACCTACTGTCTCCATTTGCAAGGGCTTGGGCTGGGGCAGGAAGAGCCATGGGGCAGTTTGTGAGGCTACTTGCATCTCAACTGGTCAACAAAGAGCTTTTAGGGGCTAGATTATGTAGCCCGACACAGGGCTGGCCTGAGGATCAGCAGAAAGATGTGCTGGTTGGTGTAAAAGCACAGTGCCCATAAACTGGGCACTGGTGATTCATAAAGGAATGTCCTACTTGAGTACATTTTATAAGTGGGCTGAAGTAGAGTCCTTTTTCTAACCAGAGCAGAGACTCCTTGGGCACTGCAGCCCTGTAACCAGGCTACTGAAGAAAACAATGCTGTGTGCAGAACCAGTTCTGGGCATGACTTGGGGCGGGCTGGTTTATAGGGACACAGCCACTGGGTCAATAAAACTATAGGTCCTGAGCCCCCTGGGGAAGGAAGTTGGCCTGAAACCCAGGACACACATAAAATCACATAGAGCCAGTTGTTTGTGCACATGGCCTCCCATACATGAGTTTTCAAACACTCAATTACAATGTCACATGTACCCAGATCTGCTATGGCTGAATCCAATTATAATTGGGCAATATGCATGCAGGCTATCCCCTCATCTGCCTCCCAACTCTCTCTGGCTCAGCCTCCTCCTCCTGCCCCTCAGCCTCACCCACTGGTGTCTAGTCCCAGCTCCACCATTCAGCTCTTATCCACTGAGGCTGCCTGCTGTGCTGTGAAAATCCAGATGGCCAGGCTGATTGAGCACAGCATCAGAACAAGGCAGAGGCCCAGCAGTATCCACTGTCTTTTAGCAGCCTGTCAGGGCTCCATGGCTATGCCCAGGAGGTAGATGTTGGGCAGTGGGCTGAAGATCTCAGTGTCTTGGACCAGTGACTGTTTTTCCAGGAAGTGCAGCCTGTAGGCCAGCCACAGCACCACCAAGGACATGACAAAACTCAGGACCAGTAGCACCCAGTACCCAAATTTAGCCTTGTTGGCATCTAGCTTCAGACTCAGAAATGTCACTTTTTCTGTGTCTTTTTCTGTGGAAGACATGGGAGTCTCATAGGGCAGGTGGAACTGGAGAGGGAGCTCTGGGGTCCCCTGTGGCTGTCAGAGGAGATGTGATTGCCACTGGCCCTCTCCCTCAGCCTCAGGCACCTACCTTCCAAGCCATAGGTGAGGGCATTGCCCTGGAAGGAGGGTGAGAGAGAAAAGTAGAAGGGAGAGGAGGAGGAGATGGACATGGCTTGGACTACATGACCCTGCATGTAAGGGACCAGAGGCAAGATGCTGACCCTTTGCTCAGATGCCAGCCTGGCAGCCTAGCTGAACAGTGTGCGAGGAAGCAACTGAGCCGGGGTAGGGGCATGGGCAGTGGTCTTGGCCGAAGCTGCATCAGGCCTGGTACAGACAGGGTCACACAGCAGCAGTGCTGTGCTGGGTAGAGCCAGGTCATGAATGAGCCCAGGAGTTAAGGCTGAGTGGGGGTAAGTGCTAGGACAGGGCAGGTTAAGGTGGGACCTGGGGCTGGCCAGGAGCTGGGACTCAGGTAAGATGATCAAACCTTCAAAGGAACAGCTGAAGTCCAGCCAGCTTAGGATGTCCCCTTGCAGTACATTCTCAGTCACCAGCCAGTTCAGTAGGGGTTTGAAGTAGGTTATGAGGGCCTTTGTAGACACCTTGGACTCCCCAGTCAGCATCTTTAGGACCTCTGGCCAGGGCTTGCTTGAGCCCAGCTTTAGAGCATCCCTGGGGGAGTGAGTGCAGCTGTGAGGCTGTGTGGGGGCATCAGTTGGTGCTGCTGAGACCCCCAGTGCACCCAATCCTGGCCCCAGTGCTTGGTCAGTCAGAATTTTCCCACAGAGCTTGGCATAGTGGAAACAATCACAAGTTTGAAAGAAGACTAATCTGGGTTTGAATTTCAGCTCTGTCATTTAGTAGCTGTGGGGTCTTGAGCAGTAACCTTTCTGAGCCTCAGTTTCCATCACCATAAAATGGAGATGATAATGGTATCTGCTTTGAAGGGCCTTGTGATG